AAAGTAAAAATGAGATTCTTAAAAGTAACTCTTACATTATCAAAATAAATAATTTACTTTTAACTCAAATTGGTTAAAATATTTAATTATATTAAAATTTACTTATTCACTTATAAGTAATTTATTTTTTGTCTACTAACATTTTTGGATAAATTACCATTTTCAAGTATAATTTTTTTTTTTAAACTAAGTAACTTATTTATTTTTATTTTTAATTAATAAGAGACATTTTTCATTCTAAAAATTACTTCTAACTTTTATTTTGTCGATTGTTCATGGAAACTTTTTTTGATGAAATTTGTTGTTTTTCTAAGGAAAAAAAATGTAGAATTTGAGATACTATCTTTTACTATTTCTCAAAATCCACAAGATATTACGGATTTCTCATAATTTTTTTTTCTAAAATAAATAAATAAATAATCAAACACCTAAAGTGACTGATTAATGCTTGATGGAGCTTGATGGATATGCATCAATCATCTTGGAGCTAGATGGATAATTATCACTTTTTTTGAGCAGATACGCGCCACAAAATTGAACTCATGATTATAACCCTTGAGCTCACTGATTTTGTGGCCAAATTTCATCATTTAGGTTGTCAAATTAGATCATTTACTCAGGTGGAAATTGATATATATATTAATTTCTTTCATTGTTTAGATTAATGGGAGATTTGTTTAGATTAATTTCTTTAAAGTTTGTCTTTGTTTTAGTATAGTAAGTTAAACTTCTTAATTTCCTTTAAAAGTTAGAATCAGAGTTCATTGTACTTGATTATTTATTAATGAAAAATTGAAAATTTCCAATATTTAATATTGTTAGTGTGAATATTTGATGGTTAAATCCTTATTATTCAATTGAATTAATGAGTGATTGGAGTGTTAACATCTTGATCATTATTCTGTTGCTTAAAAATGCAATCTCAAACAGGCATTATTATCAATATTATCTTTGAAAGTGGAAACTACTCGCTAGAGTGCAAGTTTTTCAAATTTTTTCATTTATTGTTATGTTTGTGACTCAAATTTCATGTGAATTGGAAGTTTGATTTGTGAAGGAAGCCTAAATAATGTTGGTTTGAAAGTCCGATTTGATAAGAGATCAAATTTCATCATGGATTGAGAAACTGTTTGGAACATTTTTTAACAGAATTGGAGCGTCGGGATGCGGCACTGCGGTGCCGATCTTGCAAAAGGGAACATAAGGGCCGGCGTCAAGTAGGTGGCATTGCGGCCCTGCCCATTCGTGGTGTGGGGGGGGGGGGGGTTTACCCCTATTTGGTTTTTGACATGATTTTGTGTTCTACTTCATCCATAATTTCAAATTTTGGCTCCTATGAAAGTTGAGAGAATTGTTTAGATTATGCTCCCGTTTGACTCCCATTCTTTCCAAATTTTAATGGTAGGAATAGTATTTTTTGAAAAATGTGTGGTTGAAAAAGAATGAATTTTTTTTATTTGCGTATAATATTATTTAATGGAAGATTGTGTGATTAAAAATAAGAGAAAGAAAAAATGAGAAAGAGAATGGGGACCAAACAGAGGCTTTTAGATTGAGAGAATTAAATCTTGTAAAGACAATTTTAATTTCTTAATACAATAATTTCTCACATTTTTCCACAAAAATCTTGTTTGTTGGTGATCTATTATTTTCGTATTGCCTATATTTTCTTGTTCTTTAATTATTTGGCCAAATTTCAACAAGTGGTATTAGAGTTGAAGGATTTTTTGGTTCATTCTTGGGAGGTCCAAGTTGGTTATTAAAGCGAGGTTTGAAGGAGGCCAATTGTTTAGGGATAACAACTATGAAATTTGAGATTCCATTTTTGGATCAAAACAATAGATTCTCTTTGTGGCAAATTAAGATGTGAGTTGTTCTTGCTCAATTAGATCTTGATGACGTTTTGTTAGGGGTGGATAGAGTGCCAGCAACAATGATTGCTGAGGAGAAGCAACGCAAAGATCAGAAAGTCTTATTATATGGATGCATCTTCATCTTTCTAATCAAATCTTCAGGATATGGTAAAAGAGAAAAGTGTCGCTGGGTTGTGGTTGAAATTGGAGCAACTTCGTATAATAAAGCGTTTGACCAATAAGTTACAGTTCAAGCAGCATCTGTATTCTCATCGCTTGATAGAAGGTGGATCTTTGGAAGATCATTTGTCGCTGATTTGGAGGCCAAGCACGATAAAGAGGACTTAGGGCTGATATTTTTATGTTTGTTGCTATCTTCAATGCGTGACTTTTAGAGATACTATTCTCTATAGTTGAGACACTTTCACAATTGACGAGGTATATAATGCGGTTTATTTTAAGGAGAAGATGAAGCATCTTGTCATCGGATCTGAAGCCCAAGCAGAAGGTCTTGATATTCGTGACAAGAAGATAGGTGGTCATGGAAGGGGTAGAGCTAAGGATAGCAACAATGATAAAGTCTGTTGATATTGCAAAAATAAGAGCACGTGAAGAAGGATTGTGATGAGTGGTAGAACAGGAATAAGTTTGCCACTACAGATCAAAAGACACAACCTAGAAATTTCGGTGATGCCAATTATGCAGAAGAAGACTGCAATGATGGATATCTTTTAGCAATTTTTGACGGTGACTCCAAATCTAATAATAATTAGATTTTTTATTCGACTTGAAATTGGGATTGGTTTTCTTCATATGAAATAGTTACAAAGGGTTCCGTGATAATGAAAAAATAGCTGGGATTGACAATGTCAAAATCAAGATGTTTGATAGAACAGTTAGAACAATTGGTTAGGTTCGACATGTTCCAGGTGTGAACATGAATTTAATATATTTAAGTACTCTTGATTCAAAATAGTACAAGTATATCATTGGTGGTAGAGTTCTAAAAGTTAACAAGAGTGCTCAAGTTGTATTAAGGGATGAAGGAAATCCCAATTATATGTCTTAGAAGGTTCAACGATCATTGTTGATGTAGCTACAACTTTTGGGTTAATAAACGATAACTCGATTGGACTTGGTTGTGATGGGTTGTCCATGGTGATTCGAACAATAATACTGGGAAATCTTCTAGTAGCTCAGGTGGAGCTTGTTGTGATCTTGTTGATCATGTTGCTCATGGTGATTCGAGCAGGTTTAGCAATTCAAGTGGGGTTAGAAGTGCTCATGGTGATTTGGGCAGATTTATTGACTTGATAGGAGTTGGAAGTGAAAGGGATGAT